AAACAGGAGAAGTCACAACACTCACCCACATTCATACATTCCTTCCCCACTTCTCTCAAGCCAGGGAGTGGCAAATCCAGAGACACAAGCCAGATTCCAGAATCAGCAGGAGACCTAAAAGTCCATGCACAGCATCCAGGTCCCAGAATGGTGACCCCTGACTATTTTTTATCTCCCACCTCCATATCCTCTGGATACTTATATCCACAGGTCTGGTTTCTGCTTCTAACCCAGTTGTGTCCCTGATCAACGAACTCTTTGATCTTCTCAAAGTGGGAGAAAAGTAGGAGTGTTAGGTCTGTTGAAAGAAGAAGGCATGAACCTAACCCAAGAATGGCCATAGAGAAAACCAAGCCCATCCTAGTCTGCATTTGGTTTCTCACAGTGGCCAACCAGATGCAAGCAGGCGATGGAGATGTTCCTATCTCCCACTGTCATTCTACAACTGGGGTCTGGAGCCATGCTGCCCCCAACCCTGAGGGAAAACCGACTCTTCAAGACCAGACTATCCAAGACGTTGATAGACCTGCCCTCCATGGATTTCTCCAGTCCCCTTTGAAAGCCATCCATGTGGGTGGCCATCACCATGTCTCATGACAATGGATTCCACAGATTAACAATGTACCATGTGAAGACGTGCTTTCTTCCATCCATTTTAAGTCTCCTTCATAGTAGTGTCCCCTTGTCCTGGTGTTTGGGGAGAAGAACTTACCCCCATCCATGTTCACCAGACCCTGGAGGATTTCATACCCCTCAATCATATTCCTCCTCTTGTGCTTTTTTTCCATGTTAAAGAGTCCCAAATATTTTAGCCTTTGCTCCTAGGGAAGATGTTTGAGCCCCCCAATCATTTTGGCTGGCATCTTCTGGGCTTTTTCCAGCAACATAATGTCCCTTTTCAAATGGGGCAATCAGAACTGGGCAGGAACAGCACAAATGAAAAGAGTGAGAAAGTAAAAAGGAGGCTATTTGGTTTTGTCTGTCCTCTGCTACAGGGATATTTTTGTGAACCTTCCTGCTTTTCGAGGATGCCCCGCTGCGGCCTTCAACAGGCAGAAGTGCACTTTCCTGTGTCTTTCCTCCCTCCTCCCCCCGTGGCATCTAGCAGGGAGCTTCTTTTTGCTAACAACGGGCACCCACTGAAGCTTTTGTCAGTCACAGAACTGTCAAAAACAGACCCATCAATCTGTCAGATTTTGAAAACAGTTGACGTTCTAAACAGAGCGAACACAGATGCTTTATTGGTGTGGATCGTGGAAAGAGAGGCAGCAACACAGTGAATTTTCCACACAGCGAATGTTCATATTAGCCAAGCCTGCTCCCCTGTTCCTCTGTCTTAGGATGCCCCCACCAGTCCAGAAGCCAAGTAAGAGACAGAGAGTGCCTTTCTGCGTCCTGCTTCAAACCGCAGGGTTTTTATCTTCTGAACGGGTGGTAGGAAAAAGGGTGGGCTGCTAACATTCCTTTTGTGCCCTCCCAGAATTGCTGGAGCCAAAAATTCCAAACCTTTGGTGCCTTAAGACTTAAAGATGCTTAAGAAAGCCATGTCACCCCTTAAAACTCCCGAAAGCCCCGCCAGAAATGTCCTCTGGCCCCAGCCACCATTGAAGTCCAGTTTCCTTAGGCTACCCTGAGCCCAGGGTGGCCCTTGAGGCAACAGACTTTACACACTCTGGCTTAAATGCAAAAACAAGGTCACCTTAACATCTTGAATGGGCTGAGTTCCCTGACGTCCAAGGGAGGTTTCCAATGTGGATAGTCAGCAGAAAACACTTTCTCTAAAAACCCTGTACAGGTTAGTCCTTGTTTAGTGACCACGATTGGGACTGGCAACTTGGTTGTTAAGTGAAGCGGTCACTAAGTGAAGCCACAACTATGCTTATGATCTGACTTCAGCTCTCCTTTGCTTTACAGACCTGCGAAGGTCATCAAAGCGAGGATGGGTTGCAAAGTTACTTTTTCATCACTGCCATAACTGCGAACGATCGCTAAACGAGGCAGTTGCTAAATGAGAACTGTATTTATTTGTCCGCATCAAGCTTCTTATGAATGCACAGAAGCAAAGTCAGGCCATAAACTTGGCATCCTTAGCAAAAATGACCCAGCTGCAGCTCCTGTATTCATCGTTTCGGTCTTTGAGACACACACAGCCCCAGATCCACAGCTCGATTCCTCTATGCAACTTTTGCTTTTAACAGTGATGTGCAATTGTGGAGTTCTTGTTGCAGGTTTGCTTCTAAAATCTATGTGATCGTAAAAGGTGAAGAGAGCTGGAAGGGGCGTCATCCAACCTGTGCATAGTCCAATGACTGGTTTTTTCCCCTTCAGATTTCAAGCAAGGCTGCACGTACAGCATTGCTCTATAGCAGTGTTTCTCTGCCTTGGCAGCTTTAAGATGTGTGGACTTCAACTCCCAGAATTCCCCAGCCAGCCCTGGGGAATTCTGGGAGTTGATGTCCACACATCTTAAAGTTGCCAAGGTTGAGGAACTGTTCTACAGCAAAAACAGAACTTAAATCTCTAATCTTGGTTTGCAAATCTCAGAAATGCTTGCAAAGGCCGTAGATTGGAACCTCTTCCTTAAAAATCCCAGCAAGCCCTGTGGTCAACATAATTTGACCAATGGCGCCACCGAGTTCACTCATCCCTACGATCGAATCCCCCCACCCTAACTTTACGCGCCTACCTTCATATCCTTGCCTTGCGATCTGTGGTTATCTTAAAACACACCTTTAAAAACTGCGTCCAGAAGAATGTCATTTTGAAGCCTGTATAGAATTGATCAAGGAAGCAAGTAGGTTGGCCACAGCATCGAGGGGGTCCCCAGGGTGTGGTCAGAAAGGTCAAGATGGAAGCCTTGACATACATTAAAAAAACAGGCAGAGCTTCAATCACACTGCTGTGACCCCATCTCGATTTTTTTTTTAACCATGCCCGGCGGACACCCCAATCACAGAATGGAAGGAACTCTGGAGAACATCCGGTCCAACTCTCTGCTGAGCGCAGGAATAAATTCTTTTCACTTTTCAGCAGAAATTATGATATTCATTCAGGTCAAGAGAAAGGCTAATATTATGGAAGACTACAACCCCAGTTTTCCTGGGTACTAAAAGTTTTCCTGGCTTTCGGCATTTCATCCCAGCTGTTTCAGTTTTAAAAAAAATGTTGCTGAACCATTAACAATGATTAATTGTTTAGAATTTAAACAAATTGAGTATTTGCATCCTGCGGGTTGTTCACTCTCTCTAAGATTGCAGCACATACACTGACCTCCTTTCAGCCCCCAGACTCCCAACAACGACTTCTGTTCCTTCTCTGTCTTAAAAACGTACTTACCACATTTCTATCCCGCTGCTTCTGTGCAGAGCAGGGATGCCGGGGGTCAAAAAAGCCAACAGGGCGGCCCCGCTCCTTTTTTGCATGTGTTACAAAACACGTTAAAAAGAGGCGAGGCTTCGATTATGCAGGTGTGCATAACCCCCAACTCAGCTATTTAACACACACTCACACACACCCCGGTACAGAACCCAAAGCTACGTATTTCTCCACGCTTTACCCAAACAACAACCTCGTAGGCAGTCCACGGTCAGAGAGAACGGCTGGCCTTTCCCCAGTACGTTTCATGGGAAAGGAAGAATTGGCTCCCGGGTCTTTGCCGTCAGCCCCAGTGGCTCTTGGAAATAAACAGCCGGCCACTAGGGATCATGCCCCTGTCCCACTCCAGGTCTTTCATCTCTCTTTTGACTCTTTTTTTCCCCCCTGCAATGACCCTGTAGCCTTTAACATTGTTATGGCAGGCAGAAGTTCAACCAGTAGTGCTTTGCCCAACATGGACATTTAAAGGTGAAGTTTCCTGCCTGCTGTGGAGCAATTCAAAGGCATTGGGTTAGAGCTGGTCTGCTCCCTTCCTGGCTCACCGTTGGGCTGGATGGTTGATGTGACCTTGATGTCCTTCTCCCCCAAGGAAATGCCCAGCCTGCCCACCCCACCCCGGTCGAGTCTGCGATCCATCGCCTGGGCTCATCTCCCTTGCTCCTGGAGCCTCTGTATCTTCAAAATCTGGAAGAGGATTTTTTGGACGTCCTCATCCATGTGGCCCTGGAAGGGAAGGAAGGAAGGGATGAGTTCATGAGCATCTGGAGGTCTTCCTTCAGCGTTCGGCCTGGCACTTGGGCGGGTATGGCTTTTCCCTGGCCCAAATCTGTCCCTGCAAGGGGAGAGCAGGGAAAAGAAACCCCCGGAAAGAAAAGCATGGCTGGCTGGGGAATTCTGGGAGTGGACGTCCACACATCTTAAAGTTGCCAAGGTTGAGAAACGTTGTTCTAGAGGATTGCAGAAAACACATTTTTCTGTTCATACTTTAGGTCTGGCTGGAAAGAGAAGAACGTGGTCCGGGAATGGGCGGGAAAGACTTCAGGACTCGGTGGGGAATCGAACCTGGAACGCTCCATCTTGCTCAGAGGCTCTTACGCTGACTAGTTGGACATCGGGCTGCGTAGTTTATTCCTAACGGGGCGGTATGAAGGGTCACCATAAACTGAACCCCTGCAATGTGCTCAAGGAGTAAGGGGAACTCATTCCTTACGCAAAGTTGTATTGGTTGAACAGGGATGTTAGGCTAACTTGGACATGTTATTGATCAGGGACAGGCAGCTATACACAAAGCAGCTTTGGAACAAGCACGGTTACATGTGTATGTGTGTGTGTGCGTGTGTACGCAGACACACACACACACACACACGGATACATACATATGTGTATATGCGTGTATAACCGCGTTTATATTCCATTTTTTCCCTGAAAGCTCATGGTAGGCTACGCAGAGATCTTCTTTCATTTTATCCCCACAATAATCGCCTGGTAAACTATGTTGTGCAGAGAGAGAGTGGCTGGCCCGAAATCCCCCAGAGAGCTTCCATGGCTAAAGGGGGGGACCTGGACCCCAATTTTAGTCCAACACTTAATCACTACGTCCCACTGGGCACAGTCCATGGCTGGACTCTCACACTGTATTAAGGCTCAATTTGTTTGGATCATGGTTTGTTAATTAATCCATAGCGGGTCAATTCAGACATAACGCTAAGCCGTACGTCACATTAAACACATACCCCACCATATTATGGTTTAGCAACAGGGGTGTCTCCAGGGGGTTCAAAAAAGTCAGATATGGTGGCTGTGACTGTGTGATCAAAGCCTTTTTTGCACGTGCTGCACCCGTTGCACAGTTGCAACCACCATCAGATGCCCCTGCTTAGCAGAAGATGTGAGCCTGGCTTGTATTTTAAACGCTCCTTGGCCCCATTAAAATCATTTGCTTATTTCCATCACGCTTCCTTCAGGTGACTACTTCCGGTGGGACATTTCTTTAGCACAGCAAATGAAAGAAAATGAGCCGCCTTCCCTCCGACGCCCCACAGGAGCGTGGTTTCCTGGGCCTGAGACTCTGCCCCATTCCTAAGCTCCAAAAACCATAAGCCATGGACAAATCTGCTTCCAAACCTTGAGGACCAAAGTTGATTTCAGACCTTCCCAAGAGCCCCCCTCCCCACCGCTGCCATGCAACAAGAAGGGACACGAGACAGACACAAGTCGCAACGCTCCCACACGCAACATGCTTAAGCACACAGACATGCACTCCAAGCACCGACGGACATACGAAAGGACCTTCCAACCTCCCGGAAATCTCGTGACGAGTCCACTCCACTCGGCCGTCCCGCCCCTTCCTTCCAAGAACCCAGGTGCGGGGACTGGCCTTCCCCCCACCAACAGCCGCATCTGGACCGGCCCTGAGCAGTCACGAGGAAAGCAGTGAGGAGGGGAAAGTGGGAGGGGAAGAGAGGGTGAGGATGGGAAACAGGCGTGTAATTTTGGCAGCACACCAGTCTTACTTGGCCAGCATATCAAGAAAAAAGAGGACATCATTTGAAACCCCAAGTAGATGTTCAGGCGACACCTGCGCACACACGCATTCACGTTCAGGCACACGAGCTGGGTCCTAGTCACTAGCAGTCTCTCCACACTCGATCGGCAGTTCCTCTGCTCCCCCCACCCCACAGAAGTCCCATAGAGACAAGAGTATCTATGGATTATCCTCACCATCCATTCCAAGAAGAACCTGTAGAGGACAACTTGCCGATAGGCTGTGCTGCAAACGGATTCCAGATTTATCCCCCTTTCCCGCCACCTGCCAACTCTCTGTCAGGAACGAAGGCCTGGGCTAACTCACCTGGATAGCATAGAGAAGGTGTCCTCTGTACAAAGAAATGATATTGCTATGGCGTCGCTCAGCCTCCTGGCACAAAAGAGAAAACAGCTGAAACGCGTCTTTGCTGGCTCAGTTAGGACTATTTCAGCTGGAAGTCATTGTGAGCACCGACATCTCCAAACTTTTTCTTGCCTTAGGAACTTCTTGTAGCTCCATCTGTCTGCCCGTTTACAACCCTCACTGAACTGACCGTGTGAGCTTGTCATTAAGCTAGTAATGCAATTCCCAATTAGCTACTATCGGTCATACAAAGAAACTGGGAGTTGATTTTAAAATTCCCTACAGGATGTTGGCTTTTTCAGAGGCATTTAGCTAACCACAACAAGGTACCAATCAGCTTCAAAGTGGGGACTCTGGCATTGCCCTTCTTCACCTAAAAACAGGGCAGTTTGCTACTCATTTTTGTTACTCTGCAGAGTAACTGCACTGAAGGTACCTAATAGGTGCATTGCAACTTACAGAATCAGCAGGATCAGGTACTTCCAAGAGATAACGTTCTCCAACTACTCACCTCTCAGGCTCTCATAACCTCTGGATTTGGTGTAATTGTCAGTCCCACCAGGAAGACCAGACCAGGAAATCAACTCCACCAGAAGGCTAGGACTACTTTTATTGTGATTGTAATAACAGAATCTTGCAAGTCTGATCGTGCTCTACTTCCTTCCCCTTCTTATACGCCCGTGAATCAGGGAGGTGTCTGTCTGAGCCACTTCCAAATGGTATCTGGCTGTTCTGGACTTAAAAAATGTTTCAGCCCCTTTTGCCAAGGTAACGGGTCCTGCATTTCTCCATCAAGGCCATCTTCCTTACTCCCCACAGATGTAACTTGTTTCCCAATTTGGTTTCCTAATGCATGGAAACTTCTCTTCAGCCTGAGGTGCTATCACCCGCAAGCAGATCACAGAATCCTAGAGCTGCAGGGCCCTCAAAGCTATGGAGTCCAGCTCCTTCCTGAGCTCCAGAATCCAAAATGAACCATCCCAGACTGTCCAGCCTCATCTTGAAGACATCCACTAAGGAGGATCTCACCTCCTCTCTGGATCAGTGATATCTCTGTTGAGCTACCCTTACAGTTAGGAAGTTCTTTCTAACATTCAGTCCGTCTGCCTTCCTGTAACTCAGTGTTTCTTAACCTTAGCAACTTTAAGATATGCAGACTTCAGAAGTCAGAATTCTGGAAAATGAAGTCCACATATCTTAAAGTTGCCAAGGTTGAGAAACACTGCTGTAACTTAAATCCATTATTCAGTGTCCTTCACTTGGGAACAAGAGAGAACAAGTTTTGACCACCTTCTCCATGACGTAGTTTTCTACTAATCAAAGGATGCAGCAATATGTGTTATTATGGCAGAGATGCTGTGATATTTTACAGTAATATTTTGTACTGATTATAGTATAGTAGTGTATTTATTAGTAAACCACTGACTATTGATAATTATAAAATAGAAGGTTGATTTCTTTTTCTATTTTTCATTTCTTAGTTTGTATTTTTACTTTGTGTGGGGTTGTTTCTTTTCTAATTTTTTAAAGATTGTTTTCAAGTTTAAAGATTATTTTGTTAATTGTGTATGTATAAAATTTTTAGAAAAATAAAACTGTATTTAAAAACCCTTCTCCATGACATTGCATGTTGAAGTCCCCTTTTTGAAAAACAATACAGGTAGTCCTCACCTAATGACCATTCATTTAGTGACCATTCAAATATACAACAGTGCTGAAAAAAGTTACTTACAACTGGTGCCCAAAGTTACGACCATCCCAGCATCCTGCGATCATGTGATCGCGATCTGGGCACTTGGCAACCAGCTCGCTCTTACAAAGGGTACAGCGTCCTGGGGTCATGTGAGTGCCATTTGCGACCTTCCCAGCTGGCTTTCCCCAAGCAAAGTCAATAGGGAACCATGTGATTCACTTAACAACTTCTGTGATTTGCTTAAGAACCACTGCAAAAAGGTTGCAAAATCGGGTGCAGACACATGATGCCTCGCTTAATGACCAACCCGGTTAACGACCAATTTTCTATTGAAAATTGGGGTCATTAAGTGAGGACGACCTGTAATTCTATTCAATGTTTTGTTTAATTTTATTGGCTTTAGCAGGATTCTCTGTTTCTGGCCTTGGACCATAATAAAATATGTACATATATATACAACCTCTTTTTAACTTCAAATATTAACATGCAGTTTGTAAAACAAATAATTTGATGTCTGCTCTTCTTTCAAGTTTTTGTTTCATTATATTTAATTTTGAAGAAAAGTCAAATAATTATAACGCTTGTAACATTAATATCCGAAACTGTAATTAATATTGATAGAATATCCACTTTTTTTCCTTTTCTCTTATCTACATTTAATACCCTAAGGCACCTGAATAATAGAATGTTAAGAATCTAAGTATATTATATAAATATCATTGTATTGAAATAACATATTGTACCACAACTGAGAAGATGGAGCGATAGATGATTATATGGCTAGATTTAATAATATGTTAAAGGAGGAAGCTAGTTCTATATTAACATTTTATGGATATATTTTTAGGTTCTACAGATGTCACTCATTTATTCACTATTCTGTATATTCTTTTCTGATTTTATTAGCACTGTTATATTTTTGGTCGTTCTTCATCA